CAGAATACCTAACATTCTGCTAATAATTTCAACATTCTCTTAATAATCGGCTTCAGTTAAGCATCCTTCACTTTGAAATGATCCTTTTCTGATGTATAAAATATTAAAATTTGTAATTTGAAGTTGTTTGCAATATGCTCATACATTTGATTAAGACTATTACCGATGGTTGTGTAAACACTGAAGGGAAACTAAAAGCCTATAAATGTAGTAATACAAATACAAGTCAATTACATTAATTAATTATAATTATTATCATTTGAGCAATAGTAACTTAATTGAAAAATAGTGACCAAGAGTTTGTAATCTTATGAAATTTTTTGTAAAATATACAAACTTTGTTCATCACAAATGAAATGGTCCCACAGTCAAAAAAAGGAAATCAGTTTTACATTTGTGGCTCACAACATACACACTTTCAAAGTAAAGGTGACGTTGTTGTGGTTTTGACATTTGATTAAAACGCGGTTTTCATTCGTCAGGGATTCTTACTTATTTTTTGGTATAGTTACTTGCTTGTATCCAAATAGGCTAATAAAAAAAAAAAATGATAAAAATGATATCTTCATCGTAGGTGTTAGCCCCTGGATTGCCAAATTATGTTAAAAAAGGTGCAAATACCTGCTAAGCAATCCAACATTGCTGTTTACACAACAAGTTTCGGTGCCTGTGTGGTCTGACTTCCTGCAGTCTGGACTCAAACCCCGCCGGGTTAGCGTAGTTTGTTTTCTTAACTGATCAGTTACCATAAATGTCTCGAGTTCGTGTTTGTGTATGACGCTCTTCGTATGAAGAAAGAAAACCATCCTTGTACAGCCTGATGATGGTTCCACACAGGCACCGAAACTAGTTGTGTTAACAACAATGTTGGATTGCTTAATAGCAGGTATTTGTACCTTTTCTAATACTAATGTTATTTTGATTGTGATTTTTAAAACCGCATTATCGAAAAAATACTCTTCTTAAAATTTATTAATTGTGTAATTATTGGAAAATTACATTCCTACAATTAGATAATAATACAAAACAACCTTGGTTTATACTTTTATTATTTTTATATATGAACATGTGTGATTTAAATATAATACATTATTCTATATATTTATTACGACTACTACACACGTTAAAACCACACCTGCCATTTAGAATATGGTATGGGACTGCTTTTAGAAGGAAGATAATTTCTAAGTAGACTAGAACATCATGAAAGGTCAAGTAAATTTTATTGTAACAATGTAACAATCATTCATTTTACTTAAATTTTTAAATTTGAATAGTTTATGAAGTTTTAAAAACTACTGTAAAATAAGAAGTTAAATTGAATAACACAGTCACTTGATTAGCCTAGTGGTTATAGCGCTGGACTCATCCTCAGGGACTTGGTTCAAAATCTGCCAATCACAAATAGCTAATAAGTGATAATAACGAGGGCAGATGATTCAAAGCGTAATTCTAAATGTTAGTCTATATAATGTTAGACATTCAAGAAATAAAACATCCATGGGGACATTCTCAACTAAATGAAACAGCATCTAATAATAAAAAATAACAATAATAATTTTAATCATGTGTTATTAACAAATATTATATGATTGTATGGACATATAATCTATACTGTATATTTAATACGCTACATGTTTTTTTTGTTAAAACTATTTTGAGAGAACGGCTGGGCGTAGAAACTTGGTAGCAGTAAAAAAATGAGGTAGATTCCCTTGGGGCTCTGCCCAAGTGGCCTTAAAAGTTCCCTCCCCGTGTTATTATTAGGGAGGGAAAAACGGGGTTTTTGTGGAAATTAATTATATTTTAAAGAATGGCTGTCCATAGAAGCTTGGTAGATGTGTCCAAAGATAGGTCTTGGTCTGTAAATGAGCAATCAAAAGAGAAATGAGGTGAATTCCCTTGGGGCTCTGCCCCAATGGCCTTTAAAGTTCACTACCTAGATTTGTTTATATAATGACCGTATGGATAATTTTAACCTACTTTTTAATGAAACAGCTGTTAATATTTATATTGTGTTTCAAAGGTCACGTATTGTAAGAACTAATTTACAGAATCTGGAAAAATGCAACTAAGTAATACTATGCTATAAAATCATTGAATGTAGAAGATATCATCAAAGAAACAAAGAACTGTCTAAGAAACAGTCAAATATTCCTTATCAAGTTAACTTAATACATTGTTAGTACCATTTTGAACTAATTTAATACATCATTCATGAAATTATACATTGGACACATACAACATACCCAAACATATACATTGGATTGTACATTGGGGTTTTTTGTGGGTATTTGACATTGGACCATCTACAAACCAAGATCTTAGACATCTCTACCAAGCTTCTACGGACAGCCATTCTCTCAAATTAGTTGTAAAAACCCCGTTTTCTCCTCAAGAAGATTAACATGGGAAGGGAATTTTAAAGGCTGATGACAGAGCCCAAAGTAAATTGAACTTGCTTTTCCTTTGATGGCTCATCCCGAGGCCAAGACCTTTCTTTAGACACCTCTACCAAGTTTCTATGTCCAGCCGTTCTCTCAAAATAGTTTCCACAAGAAAAAACATATGTCGTTTTAAATATATAGATGATATTGGATAAAACTTATTATGCTATTTTATATCCACCGAACGAATATAGTTTTGAAATAAACAACGAAATACTTTAAAAAAAGTACTAGGTGAAGAAATGGTGTACAGTATTAAGCGTCAACTCTGACGACAGTTCTGATAATTTTCAATTCCCTGTAGAGTTCCTTAACAGCCTTTTTGAAGGAATTGGTCTTCCACGACACAGGATAGGTCTGATACTTGATACCTTTGTTATGCTGATGAGAAACTTAAACAATAGAAGAGGTATCGTAAATAGGACACGAATGAGGGTCACTGGGCTATATACCAATACCATTGAGTGTGAAGTGTTAACAGGATCGAGCCACGGTCACGTATTTTGATTCCTAAGGTTAAGCTTATTCCATCTGTATCCCTATTTCCTTTTAAAATGTCTAGTCATAACAGAAACTGACGATTAATTTGTTGATAGCGAAAATTTCATCCATACAACAAATGTAGTTTTCAAAGATATTCTGTTAGTAAAGAATTTAAAGGAGTGGTAGTGTATAACTTATTTTAAATGGTATGTTCCTAACAAACATATTACATATATTTATATCATAAAGGTTTGCAGTTGACCTATTTACGAAAGTATAATATAATTAATAACCAGGGCATAAACTAGCTCTTTTCAACCAGACCTCAAGTTTTACAATCGAGGCGAAATCGAGGTCGGAAAATGAGTGAGAGTTTAAAAGACACTTTTGGCCCGTGTCCAAACGAACTGAGCTAAAAACAAAAATTTCAATGAAAAGGTAACTTCTTAACATCTTCAACTTTTTAGTAAGTGATTCAATTATTTCGTCTTTTACAATTGTGTACATTATACTATTGATATGTCGAACTATTCACAAGAATATGCAACAATGCAACAATAAGCTACAGCCGATGTAATCAATTGACTCCCTAGGGAGTAAAAGAACTACCTAGACCACCAACACATGTATTAAAGGCTGTTTTTGCTGCAGTAACCAATGATGAAAAAAATAGATCTTTAACGTCCCTCCCATATGTTTATAGGTTTACCTAACCCGCCATGTTAAACTTATACCAAGCGTGATGTATACAACTTCTTTACTTCTCAAGTGAAGTAAAGTTGAAAAAAAAAACTCACTCGGTGAGGTAATGAAACCCATTTAAATAACACTGAGTGCTTAACTTAAAAAAAATATACCTCTATGGAGCCAACGACGTTCAACGCTAGAAATCAGCTGTGCGCTTGAATTTTATTGTTATGTTTTGAAGAATTTTATTGTTATGTTTTGAAGAATTTTCTTAACCTAGCTTTTGTTTGTAAATGAACGTTACTATTAGAAGATGAGTGAAATGGATAGTGAAAAATATTGTTCGTGACCTCCTGTATATTGTCGGGTCAGGTAAAATCTTGCACGTCACGTTACGCAAGAGCGTGTTTACATCACTTAGGTAAATTATGTAACTCGCTTCCACGGTCACGTATTTTGATTCCTAAGGTTAAGCTTATTCCATCTGTATCCCTATTTATGTATCCCTATAGTAAGTTTATGACGTAAAAACGCTCTTACTACACTTGTAAGGTAAATAGCTATTAGCTTTTTGGAACTCTCAACAATCTTCCGGATTCACTTCGTGAAACTATTCTTAAGTGAACATTAGGGAGCCTGATACAATATAGTGCAAAATACAAATCCCACATATTTCATTTGGGGAACACAGTAGGCCTACTGATAATTGTTAATGTTAAACTTTCAATTAAATAGTTTTGCTCTACTTCTTTTTCCTTCTTTTTCCTTCATTTTATTTTTTCGTCACCTGCGATAAAAAGGTCATTAAAGTTGACAATTAATGATGTCAAACTTGAGTGTTTTGAAAATAATAATGAACGAGCCTTTGACCCAGCATATCATTGGTAAGCATGACAACCCAAAAAGGGTTTGTACAGTACTAAAAACTGTACTAAATGAATATATCTTACTGCACTCATCATCAAGTAGTGAGATGTGATAAACGCATCTTTTATATCAAAACATCTTTTTTTGTGTCAAATTTGGGGCTACCTGCTCCATACTCGTTGTAATGACTTAACGTTTTCTGATAGTAAATTTAACGTTATTTCATACTCTATATGACCATCTGGTTTTTCAACAACTACGGCATTGTCTATCTAATCTACGGACTCACTAACATGAATGATTATACCTTAAGCTTGTAGCAGTTCTAAAGTGTAACGAAATTTATTGTTTACTTTAAATGAAATTTACTGGAAATTGCTTTCGTTTGTTTTTGGTCCTGGTTAGGATTAGACATGTATGTAAGATAACTTTGCCTTTGGTTTTGTAAACCAATAGGGATAGTCCTAGTTGTACCGTTTAAACATTTTGGTTTTGAATCAGTGATTTTTGTTTCAGGTTTCCAATGGCTATGCTTCATGTACTTGGGGTCGTGGTGTTTGTTCTTCCTGTCATTACATCCATCTCAACAACTTACATTTTAGGTAAATTAAACAAATCAATTACAATATTTAATGTACTGTGTAAAGTAATGTATGATATATAAACTATTTAAATGTTATATGTTGTTACAAAGGCTAAAATACATACTACAACAATAATTGCGGAAGAAGCAATGTAACAATGTAAACAATGAATAAGTGTTCAAGTACCTTGAGATTTAGCTTTTTAATCATTTAATGTTTGTGTTAGCTAAATGTTGTAGTTAAATTATATCAGTCTGTAGAAATTTCCGTTTCCGTTGCTTAACATTGCTCTTATTTTGTAGTTTTTATATTTTCGAGTTAAATACCCCTTCCTTATGCGAATGATCCCTCTTAGTTCTTGGTTTCAACCATAACTTATAATTAACTTAAACCGATGTTGTCACATATCATTAACTTATTATATAGTCTAAATCAAATTTAGACCAAATGGATTTTATGAAATTAGCTCTTACATGAGAATAGAAGTAAATATCCCCGCCGCAGCAAACCTGAAGACTAAGCGAATTTCCTTTAGCCTGATTGGATTTACACTTAAATACCTTCTTTAAAAATATCACACTTATTCCCTTTTTAAATAGAATTAGTTTAACGAGTACTTAGGTTTGCTGCAACAGGAAGGGTAAAAAAGGGGGTTTGTTGTAAAAATGTTAATAGTTTAGTAAGAAATGAATATATTTTCCAAATTCTATCAAAATGTGTTCATAAACAAGCAAACAACAACGGTTGACTTATTCTCCATAAGAATAACATAGGAATTTTAAATTTACAATTTTTTTGGAATTTCCTCCGTAATTATTAGGCGCACAATAACGCTCCAATATACTAAATTGTTTGTTTTTTAAGCTATACAAAATGGTTTGGAAAAAAATTGTGAAATTTTGTGTTTTTAGGGTCAAAAATAGGAGAAACCTATTTTTACCCCATAAAATATCCCATAAACCCCCGTTCTCATAGTCTGATCATGCTGGTTCGCGAACTCGTACGAATAAATTTTGGTTTACACTTTTATACCAAGTTTCATCAAAATCGGATCATTTTTGATCGAGTTATCGTGCTAACGGACACATATATATATATATATATATGAATTTGAACGGATGGTGTTTTTGGCCTCTAGGGACCTCAAAACGAAAAAGTAAATCGGTCCCGGGTCTAGGTCCATGAGTACTACGGTAATAGCTTATCCCCTATGTGGGAAATTCGCTAAAAATCTACTCTAACATTGAAAAAACTCTGTATGGTACCAATTGTTCATAAATCACATAAAACAGTTACTGAAAGTAATATTAGCCTAACGTTAATAATAAAATACCTGTAACCAGTGGCTTATGTCAAATTGCTTGAATCTGGTACAATATCTACAACCAGTTCAAAATCTTCGGACAGTGTTCAAATTAATTCGTTATTTTTCCGAAATAAATTAATTATACTTCCACGTTACAGATAGGGGAGTGTACAGTGTATTGCATTGTTTTGTCACGTGTTCATCCATAACACAGGATTTCCACCCAACTTGGTGACAAGGGTACATTCCGTTTGCGTTTGGCATTTGTTCGTGAGTTTTAAGCCTGATACAGTTAATAATAGTACACAATAATAATAATAGTAGTTAGTAATAATACACACAAGTATAAACAAGATTAGGAAAAATCATTACTATTAAAATCATCACAAAAAAAACTAACAGATTAATGATATATGTAGGGAAAACTACTTTCCAGAAGTAATGTTTTCCAACTAGTAAGCTTTACAAGTTTACTTTTAAATTTATCTTTAAAAAATCTTATAAAAAAAAATAAAACGTAGATGACTCGGCTAGATAAACTATCTACAGTATTTCAACGAAATAGCTGTTAGTTCTGGTAGAAATATACATTGATTTAATTTAGGATTGAGCACTTAACTTAATTTAATTAAATTGTGTTCTAAACCTAGAAATACAAGGAAGGAATATGAAAACTAATTTTTCAGGTTATAATCCCTGCAATACAACGTTTGGCTAAACAGATTTGACAGTTAGTCAACATTAGCACAGCTATTGAAGGCCGTTTTGATGGATCGCAAATATTTAAACACCTTGGTGTTAACCGCCATGATTCATGAATGTATCTCTTGATACAGGAAACACTACGTTATTATTATTTATTTGTTCAAGAATCAACTCTTTTATACTCTCGTTTAATTAGCTTCTTCTGACAGTTCTTGTGTGTATCAATGTGTTACCAGGGGTTTTGGTATGAATATTGTTACACAGGGTATCCCTGAACTCTCTACCGACCTTTTAATGTATCATGGACCATTTTACTGGTTACTTTGAGCTAGGCCTAGAGAGTTCTGGCATTATCACTGAGATAAAATTGGTCGTTGATTGGCGGGATTTGAGCCCGGCGAGACTACCACTAGACACTAGACTAGACAGACAGGTCTCGCGCTCTACAATATTAGACATGTTCCTCTTCGCAGATATGAAAACTGTCTGTTTGTGTGTATTCATATTGTTTTTAGGGTGCACCACACAACAGACAATATAGTTACAGTCACACTGTATCTTCAATAAATTGTTCATACAAGAACAAATTTTTCCAGATTTTGAGTAGTAACAGTTTTTATACGCTACGATTAAAATTAGACAGTATTTTTTTTCTAAACTTGCGTTGAAGGATAGGTGTAATAGATGGATGGAAGTTTGAGTGAGTCAATGTTTGGCAAGCTATCGTCGTTACAGAGTGATGTATTGCCTACGTCTTGGACACAAGATGTGAAGGACTTTAGATATTCTCGGCCGCTAAAAACTATAAAATATTTACTGCTAACATTGTAAAATCATCCCAGGAAAACGAAAAAAGTTCTGTAAAATATTGATGGCCTACTATTATTATACATTAGGGTTATATTTATTATTAGGAATAAAATATACAACCAAATAGATGAGTTAAGAGATTTTCTACGTAATCAATAATAAAATTAGCTTTATGATAATACTTATTATCTATCTAGTAAGTAAACAAGTTAATGCCAGTTATTACGTATTTTTCATTTGTGTTTTCATACTCCCTTATGAATCTTTACTAGCTTAAGTAACTTTTTCTAGTATACAGAGATAAATTCTTCTAAATCTTTACTTTGATGATGCGATCTCATTGAATCTCTTCAGGGACGAGGTCGGTTAATGTATCAAGATTCAGATCCTTTGCGATTCACTCTAAACACATTTTTTACCATCCAAAAATAAAAAAATGATTTTGTGTAAATTTTATAATAATATCTATGTTAGAAAATAAATTTCCGTGTAATGTAAGTCCCACAACTACATAGAATAAATTAATACACATAATGCAAATAAAAACCTTCATTTTGCCGATATTCCTGAGATTAGAAAACAAAAAGACAAGTGAATACTTGAACACAAATTCTTAGAAAAAGTCCGCATAATATAAACCTGCATTAGGACTTTCCTCATTGACGTAGCAAGCGAAATATAAGAATATTTTTAATGATACTAAATAATTTAAAAAGATAAAAAACTGCAATATCCCAAGAATAATCTACTTCTTTTGATTGAATTCGAACACATTTTATTCTTAGCTGCCATTCACATCCCAAATCCCCTTAAATACCTATTTTTTTTTACTTACAAAATTACAGAAAGTAACTGAAATGTTCTCTTAAAATATTTAAACTGTTATTATTATACTTTATATGCATACGAAGTTTATAAAATGAACATATGCTGTTGTAGTTTCTCTTTAACTCAACCTCTGGCATTTACCTCTCGTGGAGTAACATCAAGTTTATCGTACCCAATTGCTCAATGCTTGTGCATGATTGCACTGCTATCTACTACAGAGTTATGTTCTCTCGACTCGATACTGTTCATACAACATTCATAGAGTAGCACGAGTACATCCTCAAAACCAATCCACATAACGCTGGTCATCAGGATCGAAATTAATGTTACAAAATAATAAACATAACTAATTAGGTTTTGTCAAAGTTCTGTACCGATTGCGTGTGTTACAGACGAGCATCTGTCGTGTTCGGCAAACCAGACCACTGCAGAAGTGTTCCAGTGTGAGTCTGTATGTCTGCCTCCCACCTCAGTGTGTAATGGTATCCCAGAATGCCCTAGCGGTCAAGATGAAGCAGTTCAGCAATGCGGTGAGTACAATACACGTAAAAAATAGCCCTGTCTACTATTACAGTTTTGGTGATGGTAAAGGTCCCACTTTTTTGTACTTAATCACCGAAATACTGAAATTTATCAAAGTTTGGGTGCTGATAAAAACAAGGTTTAGCTCATTAATATAATATTGGCAACTCTGAAAGGGTTGCGGTTATCTACTTTTCAAAGGGTTGGGTGGATTAGACAGCTGATACACTCAAAGACCGTTTTAAGAAGCTTAAAGTAATGAAGATTTCACTACTAAATTATTCCCTTGAATAAAATATATGTATATTTTAAGAGACTAGTGGTGCACGACGCACGTAAAGGTTTTCATTGAAGGTATATTAAATTTTACTATGCACTATAATCTATAGCATATTTGAAAAAAAAGTATTTTTTAAACACTCTTTTAACGGTATTGATCTTTATGGATCCGCTATCAATGTAAATTGTATGTATCTATACGGGAGAGTGAGTTTTATTTTTTACCTAACCCGCCATGTTAAACTTCCCTATCCCAAGCGTGATGTATACAACTTCCTTACTTCTCGAATGATGTAAAGTATCAAAAACTCACTCGGTGATGTAATGAAACCCATTTAAATAACATTGAGTGATTAATTTAAAAAATATACCTCTATGGAGCCAACGACGTTCAACGCTAGAAATCAGCTGTGCTCTTGAATTCTATTGTTATGTTTTGAAGAATTTTCCTAACCTAGCTTTTGTTTGTAAATGAACGTTACTGTTAGAAGATAAGTGAAATGGATAATGATTAATATTGTTCGTAACCTCCTGTACACTGTCGGGTCAGGTAAAATCTTGTACGTTACACGTTACGCAAGAGCGTGTTTACATCACTTAGGTAAATTATGCAACTCGCTTCCGCTCGTTGCACAACCTTCACCTGCGTGATGTAAAAACGCTCTTACTACACTTGTAAGGTAAATAGCTATTACCATTTTTCTTGTAACTAACTTCAAATCCAGCCAAGCCAAATAAATCTTCTTATTTAGTAGCCATTGCTCGTCCGTTGGTATTTTAACTAGAGGTCAAACACACTGTAAACGTTAACCAAAAATAGGAGAAAAACATGGACATCGGTGTACTGGAATAAAACTAACCAGTGCAAGATTTGTTGTTGTTTAGGTTGTCTCAACAACGAGTTCAGATGTTCGAACAGCTGTGTTGCTCTCGTCAAGAGATGTGACCGTCATGCGGACTGTGATAATGAAGAAGACGAGCTAGACTGTAGTGAGTGTTTGGAAATATACTTACTATTTGTGGCTACCTAAATACTGTGGAGATAGTTTTGTCATAGTTTTTTGAATTGCCATTCCTTGATTATATAAATCTTTTGGATCGCAGTTAATTAATTGTTTTGAAGTTAGGAGTAAATACTATTTATGTGAATTAGAAACAATAAAATCATTTCAAACTCAGACCCAAGCCTTATTTATAACTAAATTTAAGTTTAAAATGTAACGATGTTGATATTTTTTATTACAAAAATGAATTTTACTATAACTTTTCTGTTTTTATTTCTTTCAACAATATTGAGAAAATGTTAAATCACAGCAGACAGTAGAAATGATTTTGGCATTTGTAGGTTCACATACAAGGCATGCAAACAACAAAATGATAATGAGAGTCAAAATACCTAATTCTTTAGCTCCTTATTTTCTTAAATATTCAAAAGTATTTACAGTAAAAATACATACAAATAAGTCTAACTGAAGATGATGTCTTTGGTTACCTTTAGGGATTAAAGAGGTAAAATGCATCAACAGAAGAAATACAAACAAGTATTCCATAGTTAATTAAATTTATTAATTTAAGTATATAAAATTGTAACTCTTTTTTTAAGACTATAAAAAGTATGCAACTTGCAACATTATTATATTTTAAGTTCTTTGACTGAATAAATTGACAATAAATATAATTAACAAGGATGTAAAAGCCATTTGTCATGACGATGTTATTTCTCTGTAAAGCAGCTTACATACAGGGAGAATTACGAAGATGTCCTATATTTTTTCAGACAGCCCATTCGTTTAACACACAATTATTATGATATGAAAATCCTTTCCTTGACCAACTCCAAGGAATAACATAATAATATTTGTTATGTTTTTTATACAGCATGCAAGAGGTTCACAAGTTTGAATCCCATAGTTAAATTATCAAATGCAAAATATTGCACATTAGTAAATCTTAACTCACAAGGATTGTGATATTTGAATCAGATTAGTGATGGTATCTGTATTCTAATGAAAAATACAGAATATTTAAAATAGTTGAATCTTTTCCACCTAAAGAGCTGCCATTTTGAAATAAATTAAAATAATCAAATTTGGATTTTTTTTTAGTTCAATAAAACGAGTTTCAAAACTATGTATAATATAACATATATTTGTATTTGACAATAATTATGGAATTCAAACTAATGAACCCCTGGCTTATGTAGGCCTACATACTGTATCCAAAAACATTAATTTTTTTAAATTATCCCTTGTGACTGGTTTAGTGGGGAAATCTTCATCTAATCATTGTAAGGCCAACGTTTTTTTATGAAATCAATAGTGGACACCCAACGAAATTCATCCAGCATATTGTCATTTCTTATAGCTTCATGTACCGTACCTTTATATAACATTTTTGGACTCTCGCGTTTGGACGCTAAAATTTATTGTTTAATGCTATAATTTTCTCATTAATAGTAAATAACCTTTTTCAGAATCCTTCATATGTCCAATCACTCACTTCAAATGCAACAACCACTTCTGCGTGCCCCTACACTCTGTGTGTGATTTCACCGACGATTGCGGAGACAATTCTGATGAGATAGATTGTCGTAAGTGTTACATTATTCATTTTTTGCTGAGAGTAAACCGAAAACAACTTTGAAAACTGTCATTATTCCATTCAGATCATATACTTTGGATTACTTCGGGAATACCTTTGTGAGACGTTTGATATATTATTTATTACTTTCAACAAAATATGATAATTCTCTTGTTACAAAGCTACTTAATCTGTAAAAATGCGTATTGAAGACAAGGTTAATTAAATATTTACTTTAATGAAGAGGGTGGATAAATTATAACTGTCATGGAAAGCCTGTGTTTATAAATTTCGAGTGGGTTCAGCAATTACTAACGATAACAATTATGATAGAGGATTAGTAGTGGTGAACTACCGGTATGACCCCACTTTAGGCACGTTTTTCCCATGTTATTCTTATGGGGATCATTTTTTAGCCACCAAATCCAAAAATCCTGATCTTCGCCTGTACACCCCAATATAAATGTTCAATACCATTGTATAACTTCATTACTATTTCAAATCCACATGCATTCACAAGTATATTCTCAAAATCATCAACTTGACAGTGCGAGGTTTGTGCGTGAACTCGGGCGCGCTCCCGGCTCATGGCGCGCTCCCTTGGACATCCTTAGTGGAAATCCATGAATTCTGACTACTTGGGAACCCAAGCCATTTGACATACAATAAATCACCCTTCCTCCTAATTACCTTTTCTATTAAATACATGTCTTTATATTTGGTCTTTAACAACTCCTCTGTATAGAAGCCTCCCCTGATTATATTGCCATTTTCATCTTTCAAGATATAAGTCACAGGCTTTGTATTCTTAACTTCTGCTATTGTAAATAGCTCACCTGTCCAATTTGGGGTATAACCTTTACTAAAAACATGTTTATACTTGGAAATTCTCACGCTATCACCCACCTTATATCTTGGCTTCTTAACTTGCACTACTTTAGAAGTCAACCTCTCATGCACATATTTACTATTCTTAATATTCACTTGGTTAGGCTTCATTCCTATAGATCTATGCACCTTATTATTATATTTTCGAATTAACTTTGGAAGTAAATCCAACCATTTATAACTCCCCTGAGCACTAAATTCCCTATATAACCAATTCTTTAAAGTTCTCTGAAACCTCTCCACAATTGCAGCCTTAGTTGTAGAAAATGTGTGATAGTGATTAATATTTAAGTTTTTCATTACTTTGCTAAAATATTGATTAAAAAATTCTTTTCCGTTGTCAGATTGAATGTTTTTAACCCCCTTTGGTAGAATGGTTTTAATGGCTTCTGTAACCACCAACCCTGTCTTATTCTTTAGCGGAGCAGCATAAGCTTTTTTAGAAAATGTATCTATTAAAGTTAAAATATATTTATTGCCAGAATTTTCTCTAGCATAGTTTTGCATATCAATTAAATCTATTTGTAAGGTTTCGTTTATACCTAATACTTTAAAAGATCTTCTAATGAAATTCTTTCTTGCAGGCTTATGAAGTTCGTATGCAATTTCATTCATTTTTTATAACATCACTCTTTCCTTGTACTGTAAATATATTACCATTAGCCCCAATCAATAGATTATCTTCCATTCTTTTAAATACATAGTTTTCTGGTATATAAGGTCTATTATCTATATACTTAAATCCACTCAAAGATGTAGGGTCGGCAACTAATAAATCAGGATTGTATTCCATCAAATTAAATTTTCTTCCTGCATATACAAATTTTGATCCATCATAATATATAGCTTGTGACATTAAACAAATATCATCTAAATATTTCCCCTTTGGCAGATTCCTTATAAATTGTTTTTTGGCATCCCAACATTTTTCTTTTTTATCAAAAGTTATAGTCTGTTCTTTTATAACACAGTCAGTTTCATCAACGGCGGGTTTTACACGTACTAACCTTTTATTATTAAAATCCCAATAGCCTGCTTCCATTTTTGGAACTTGTGAAACATTCACAGCATCTTTACTATCTGTACCTTCCATCAAATTGCTAAGTTTCTGTTTCTTAGCATTCCAAACACCATTCTCAGATTCTAAAAATTCATAATTATTATCGTCTTGTACAAATTTACCATCTTCTTTTCGTATTAAAGTCTGTTGTAAAGTGGGCACATCATTTAAACTTTCACCCTTTTCCACATTAGTAATTTTCCGTTTCTTAGCATTCCAAACACCATTCTCTGATTCTAAAAATTCATAATTATTATTGTCTTGTACAAATGTACCACCGTCTTTACGTATTAAAGTCTGTTGTAAAGTGGGCACATCATCTAAACTTTCACCCTTTTTCACATTAGTAATTTTCTGTTTTTTAGCATTCCAATTTTTATTCTTAGATTCTAAAAACTCATATTTAGTTTTACCTTGTAAAAAGACATCACCTTTTCTAGTTAATGTCTGTCCCAAAGTTGATACATCATCTACAATCTCCCCATCTTTAACATTACCAATTTTACGGTTTAAACAATTCCAACTATCGTCTTTTAAATTTAAAGTAGGTTCATGACTAGCCCTGGGTTCTGCAGGCTTATTATATGGATTATATAAACGATAAAATTTATCTATAAACATATTTTTATTTAATAAATAATACCACTTTCTCTCAATTCCTCAATAATGGAATCTATTTCATTATCCACTCCTGAGTTACCGGCTTGGCGACTTAGCCAAAGAAGTCTTAACCTATCTACAAGCTCATTAGGATCATCCCAATAAATATAGTCTATTTTATTACCAGTCACTTGTCTCAAACCTTCACCAACAGATTTAAATAGAGGTTTAATTATATTAAGATATTTAGTATGTCTATTACTTGAAATTGGTGCACCATCTTTGTAACTCTTTAAATGCCCATTTGTAGCTTCCAAAATTTCTTTATAATTTTGCAAATCAGCCGGAGTATAATCCTCAGGTTCTTTTAAAGTTAACAACTGCCACAAGCCTTTTGTCCCCTTGTAAGTTTTATTTGCAACTGTAACATCATCATTGGCAATATCAACTTCCTTATTTCCAATAAAAAATTTATTTGCTTCTCGTCTAATACCATATGTAGTGTCTGTCATACTACTTTTACTGAGGTAATTTCCTAAATAGTCTGATGCTAAAAGACCAAAATCCAATTTCTGTGGAGTGGATTGCTGTAATCTTGGTATCATTGATATTCTAGATGGAGTCTTTGGGAGTATCTCCATTCTAGGTCTCTCTGTTTTGGCGATTTTTTTTAATTCTTGTAATGGCTCTATTAAAGGTTGGAATGTTTGGAACCTCTCTTCAGCCTCTAGAAACTTGCCACGTTTTAAAGCTCTATATTTCTCTCGTATTTGATTTGCAGAGTCAACCAATTCTTGTTGAATGTTTTTCATCTTTTATTTAAATTTTATTTATCTCATTTGACAAAGGATTGTACTCAAACACTTTATCATGTATTATCAAACAATATGCAGATGTATTTGCTGGCACATTTTCTGCAGTTTCAATCTCTAATTTAATATCAACAATTCCTTCCTTCACTGTTTCGTTCTGTCTAGAACAATCTATTACAATTAGTGGATATTTCTTCATAAACTCAGCCCTACTAATCATAGGATCTGGGATAGTATTGTAGTAAGTCTCTCTAAACCTCATAAACATCTCATAAGCTTTAGAGACATCTCCATTTTCAAAATCGAGATTTAAATCACTATAAGGATAATATTCAGAGTTTAGAAATACTTTGAGATTTTTTAACTTACAGTGATCAAATTCATCAGTTCTTTTTCGTGCACTATTATCCCTAGCTGTTTGAAAACCAAATATAATATACCTAGGCTTCTCCAAACTTGAAGAGGTCTTTACTGACCATGTATGTCTTGTAGTATTGGGATATGATGGAAGTTCATGCAACTCTAAACTTCTAAATGCAATTTGCAAATTTTTATTTTGCAATAACATCTTTTGTAATTGTAACTTCTCCCCATCTGATGGTGTCACATGTGGCATCACCCATTGAATTGAGTTAAGTGTAATTTTGGGAATCATATCAGCAGTGCCACTGGCTGGAGCACTAGCGGTTGTTAATATACAATTCAAATCATTTTTAGATCTTTTCAACACCAATTCTTGTTTGACATTTACTAATACCTTATTAAAATCCTCAAATACACCCATTAACAGCTCTAATGGCAAACATGTACTAAACTTACCACCTTTATGGAACTCTTTTAAATTTGTGTCAGAATCAAATGCCACATTTGACAATTTAGTAGTTTTATTGTAAGAGCTCAATATTTTCATAAGACTAGAAATTCCTGGGTTTCTTACAATGTCTATTTCTTTACCTGCAACTTCGTATCTAATTTCATCAAATAAGAACGCGAATGCATTATTTATAAAATGACCTTTATCATGATTTTCAATTTCTCCCTTAATATACAGATAACTCCTACATGGGAGAGTTAGCAAATCTTGATTATTAATACATATTCGAATTTCATCAGAATTATTTATTGCCAAAGTGTTGTGGGGAACATAGGAGTGATTTGTAATTTTAACCACACTATCGTCGAATTGGGATTTCCCTGTAACATCTAGAAAATCTTCCATTTTTATTAATAGAAATTTTTAACTTTAGTCCTATTGACTTTAGGAACCTAGCATTTTGTACACTTATAGATAGCTGCCCACTCTTATAAATTCTCATATCTTTTTTATATGACAAGTAATTGTAGTTTCTTCTCCGTTAAAGTCAATTGCCTTGTCGTGCTGATCGGCAAATGTAATACTGACAACATCTAAACTTCTCTTGTTTACAGGAAAATATATAATATTTCTTGGAACTTCAATAATTTTGTAGCCAGGAGGAGCTTCTGGATAAAAGCTATGTATGGTGTGTGATTTGTTGCCATTTAAATAGGACCCGTTTGCAATATTACATTTTACTCTAATCACATTTACATTATTAATGTTTATTTTATTTGTAGATTCAAACTGAACACCAGGATTAGAAACACCTTTAAATCCCAATAAAACAGACC